AAAGATATTACAAATCTGAGAAATCTATATAAGACAGCATTAAAGGAAACAGACGTTAAATAATTGATTAATAGATTATAAGAAATGTTCAATTTGAAATAAAACACATGCTTAAAGTTTACATGTTGGTCACTTTATTCTTACACAAATGACGATAGCGTTTGGCCAAGCCTATAATAAACTAATAGTTAATGAAAGTTAGCCAACGTTTTTGTGAAATCCCAGGGCTGTTGTTCAAGTGAGGAACAGGTGCCGTCCACCCAACCCACCGGTTTGGTGCACTTTCTGTCCCTGTTTAATGCCCAATAGGAAACTCGACCAAGGTGCTTTTGGTTGGCGTAATCAATGAGTTTGCGGAAAGTATCGATGGTATACAACTCCGATGGTTGGTCTGTGTGGCCGTTCATTAAGATGAGTCCAGTGGCGGCATAAACTTGTTGGTCGTTTAGGTCTTTTCGCAGGTCTTTAAGTTGTTTGTGAGTTTGTTCCATAACACTGATCACGCTATTCACCTGATCGGCACCGGGACCACCGTAGTCGAACGCCCTGTACATAATTGATACAATAAAAATAAATGTTGAGAATTAAATGCTGGTCATTAGTGCAAATATTAATTGTAATATATAATACTACTGCTATTTTAACAATTTATTAATTATTTACTTACATAATTTTATACAGGTCCATTTTAGCACCAAGATCGACTGCGCGTTTGATCTCATTCCTTCCCAATTCGCTCAGACCAACGGTAGTCGAGGGTAGGGTTAGGGTCACAAACAGTTGTTTGCCACTAGCCTTGGCCTTTTGTTGCAAGATTTTAATGGCTTGGAATCGACGAGTTTCACCCTGCACATCGCCCAAGTTATCATGTTCAACGTCAAAGTCCACGTTTGTCAACGAGTACTTGTCGATCACGATCTGATATGCGTTGGCCAATGAGTTGACGTCATGACACGCTTTGCCCAAATCGACGCCATTATAGCCGCCGAACGAGACCGAGACGTCGCCACCGGCGGCACGGATTGCCTTCACTTTGCCCAACACTACTGTGT